AAAGAAGCATTATAACACAAACATTAAGCTTTACAAAGCCATTTAGAGCATCTTGCAAACCATCAGACCGCCCACTCTGCCTTCCTCTGCTCCCACTTACACTGGGAGAAATCCGGAATAACCCAGCCGATCTCAGCAGAGATTTGTCACTCTGAAAGACACCAGCACAAGTCACAGATTTTCTAACTTTGGTTTGGATGAAAACCCAGGACTCGTTCATCGTATCTCAGGGTATTTGGCATCGACTTTAATTAAAAACCTCCTCCCTGGGCCAAAACGCGTGCAGATGCAAACTTCCCCGTTCAGCGTCTGCAAGGCATCGCTCGAAAAACCCGCGACGCTGCATTTACAGTCTGAGGTAGATGCACAAAGTAGGACCTGCCTGTAAAATTTCCTCTTGTTCTGCAAACTCTCTTTTCTTGCACCTCGATTTACCGTAGTGCAAAAAACCCCTCACAGTCAAATCAATATATTCTTGGGAAGGAAGGGGGCTGGTAGAGTGGTTTTTGAAGGCAAGCCAGAGAATATTCTAAACGGGGAGGACACACAGCGTGTTTTAACTGCTGTGGTAATTCTGCATAAAGAGATGTTAAGGATCTAGCTCCTTGCTGTAGCATGCCATGTGTCCCTGAATAAAATTACTGCCATGCAGGCTGTTAGCAGAGGAATGCGTAAACAGACAATGTATCCTTGCATCAGTTCCACAAAATGTTGCACAACACAAATGCCTCTCGATGTGTCATTTCCTGCTTGGCCACCAGCCCAGCTCCTGACAGGCAGTCAACAAAAAAAGAGAAAAAAAAAAAGAAAAGAAAAAAAAAATATAACAAAAAATAAAACCTGAAAGATTTAAAGCTGTTCTACTCCAAAGCACATTCCACTAGCCCCAGACTTATCCCTCCACCCTCTGCCTTTGAAAGAAAAGAGGGAGAACTTCCGAAAAACTGTTATGGTTTTAAGTCGAGGAATCTCAAAAATCTCAATCACTTATCTGCGTTTTATAAGCCGGGTTGGCGAAGCAGTTAATACAAAGGCTGAGCAGAACCTCTTCGCTGGCTTTCACTGGCTTCTGCAGCGTGCACAGACAAAAAGGTGATGTTTGCTCATACCTTTCATCACGTGTGCACCTTGCAAGCTGCGGCGGCAGAGAAATATTCAGGAGCTGAATGAAACACAGCAGTTTTCTCCTACCTAAATGCTTCAATTCAAAGCTCAGAACCACTTTTCCATTCAAGCTGATAAAGAAAATTGTGGTCAGTGACTTTGGAGATTACCTTTAGTTAGAGATGAACTAAAGTCTTTGGAAGCCAGGCAAAATATGAAAATACATAGACTTTTCCTCCCTCCTTCCTCATGATTTCCCTCCTGAGTGGGTTTCTATCAAAAGTAGCCAGAAAGGACATGTGTCTTATTCTACAGGTCCTGCTATGGAAAGGCAAATCATTAATTCTGTATTTGTAACGACATAAGGCAAAGGCATTAAAGGGGGGCTTAGGTAAAGGTTTGGAGTTTTTTGTTTGTTTGTTTCTTTCTTTCTTTTAATTCCTTTACAGTGATATCTTACTATCTGTCGGTCAGTTATGACCTCATAACAACTTATTTCTCCGGAAAACTTCTTTCAGCTCTCCCAGCTGGAAGGCAGCTCTGCTGGCTAAGATGTGCATATGGCAGAGGTTTTATCCTGGATATGAGAAGAGAAAAATATCTGCAGGATTTCCCAATGATTCTCAAAGATCTTATACAACCCCATTTCTGACTCCCTCACTCAGTGCAATGCGCTGTCTCAATCCAGCACAAACACCATGCAACACAGTAGATGGCCCTGGATGGTAATATAGATAGACTGAAATAGGTAATTAAAAATAAATAAATCTTTTCCAAGGAAAAATCATCAGAAGACCTTTGCTCATATAGAAATGGGCAGGTTTTCCTAACAGAGCAACCTGACATCACCGTCTGTGTTAAAATATTTTAAAATAGCAACAAAGAGGCAAGGCAGCAAGCTTCTACAAGCATATGTTTAATACGACTAAATGGCACCTACGTTTAATAACTTGACTTTCTGAAGTGCTGAGCATCCCAAACACCAACTGGAGTCACTGCATGCCATGACTGTTCAGCACTCTTAAAGTCAGGCTCTAAATGATTGTGATATCTGTCGTGGTATTGCTGCTGCTCCTACTGCTGCTGGAAAGCACACAGCATTCGTTCGCTCGAGTCAACTTGCCAACGGAAGGTCAGAGTGCCTTGCCTATAAACAAGCCTTACAAATTCACGATCTAAAGCATGATGTCATGTCTTAAAATGATAAGCTGGCAACAAAGTAAATGACATTTTGTAAAGATGTGCATAATTTTATGTTTACGCTACTTAGAATGAAGGTTCTAATAAGTCATCGGTTGTGTTCCTTTAAAGGGAAGTTTTATAACTGAGATGAATCACAACTGCAAAAGATCAAAGTTAAAAAACATCAATGATGCCATGGGGTACTTTTTAATCTTGTAATGAATGATGATCATGTGCTCTTATGAAGTTGGTCCAACTGCCAATGCCAGATGTGTATATTAAGAAAAAAGTTGTTTGTGATGTGACAGCTCTGATTGAGCTGCCAGAGAGAGGAAAACTAGGATAACATCCTCGAGATGTTGAAGTGAAATACAAATCCTGGCAGAGAGGGGCACTATTTACCGATACATAATTTGTTACAAAAAACACATTTGCTATCAGAGCTGCTCATTGACTTGAATTCATTATTGCCCCCAACCACCTAATTTTCCTCATGCAATGTAAATGCCAGATATACTTCTTGAACGATTGCTACCAAACAATAATAAATCTACATGAGTGCAGGAGCTCTCAGAAGGAAGCAGAACTTCAGTGA